GGGGGAGGAGAAGGAGGTTCATTCAAACTGGATCCGTGCAATCCGACCAGTATTGGGCGGGAATTGAGATTTGAACCTTTGGTAAATTCTCGAGGGATTGGATTGATTGCGCGACCGCTAGGAATGGATTCGATGTACGGTTGATCGGACGTACGGAAGGATTTGATTGCGCAAAGATCCGACGTACGGAAGGATTTGATTGCGCAAAGCGGACAAAGCGAATGCGATGTACGGATGGATTTGATTGCACGAGTGCGTGCGATACTGTTTCCATGAAAAGTTGACGCGGGAATTGGAATTGGAATTGGAACGGCAGCGGGAATTGGAATTGGAATTGGGTTTTGTAAAAGAGGCGAAGGTTCGATCTTGGACCGAAGCCAGCGGCAGTAGATCTTGCCGGCGGCAGGTTGACGCGCGCTACGTCAGCGAAAAAATAGCAGGCAAGAGAAAGGCGGGAGACCGAGGATGGGACAAAAGGCGGGGGGGCAATAGAGGCTGAGATGGCGGGAGATGGAACTGAAAAATAACGGGCAGATAAGGGCGGGAAGGACAAACACAAAAAGGTGAAAAAGAAAAGCACAAGGGGGGGACACGCAAGTGGCATTCACGAGGTTGTGGGTTCGAGCCTGACCCTCTACGGCGCACTTAATGCCTACCAGCTGTTCACAGCCCTTAGGCTGCGGTATAGTGTAGGCTGCGGTATAGTGTGCTTCCGCGTCTGTGTCAAGGTGTCGCATTTTCGGTGGCGGGCAACCAGGACGCAAAGTGGGTTCTTAGGGGACAAGGTTTTTTGGGGACCGGTCCTTGGCAAAATTGCGGACTACCTACAGCTAGCTCTTCTAGAACCGGGACTTTTGGAAAAAGGAAGGACCGTTCCTCGGGTGGAAGTGGACCCCAAAAAGAAGTGGGCATTGCACCGGTCCCCGGGTAGAAGCGGACCCCAAAAAGAAGTGCGGGCATGTGAACTGCTAAAGGGCCCTCAGGCCCAGGCATTGAGCCCCGTCTTCTCAAAACAGGGAGGTCAGGCACAACGAAATAGGCGTTTTGCAAGAGGCAACTTTGGCGATTTTCTGTGCTCGGAGGAACATGCACAAAAATCTGAAATTTTGAGAATCCATAGATGAGGTCGTGTTCTTTCCAGAAATAATAATAGAACATTTACAAAAAATCATTTACACTGCGAAATACTCGCCGCGCCGATTCGGCACATTTTCCATTTTGCCACTCAGCCATGCCTGGGCCGAAAAAACCTGAAAATCGGAGTACTCGTAGATTTTGTTGTGATCTTTCCAAGAAAAACGCCAACTGCAAAATAGATCGCGGCCGCAATGTGACCCATATTTCAATTTTGCCATTCAGTCTCTCTCTCTCTCTCTCTCTCTCTCTCTCTCTCTCTCTCTC